CATTTGGTCCCATAGACTTATGGATGGTTAGGTGGTGCAGCAGGTCACTGACCATTTCCTTAGATTACAAAGGTCTCATTCTGGCCCACCTCCCCATTTTCCAGCTCAGGGGACTGGGTGTCTAGGGAGTAACCCATCCAACTGCTATAGACTGCTATCTACTGCATCCAGTAAAGGATGGAGATTGTCCCTAGTCCTCCTTTTGTTATTAATGTATTTATAGAAAGATTTTTATTGTCTTTGACAGCAGTAGCCAAGCTGAGTTCAAGTTGAGCTTGGGCCCTCCTAATTTTCTCCCTGCCCTACTGCATCTCTGTACTCCTCATGAGAGGCCTGTCCTCTCTTTCAGAGGCCATAACTCTTCTTTTCTTCCTGAGATCCAGCCAAATCTTTCTATTCAACCAGGCCAGTCTTCTTCCCTGATGGTTCATCTTTCAGCACAGGGGACAGCAGCTTTAAGATGCGTCATTGAAGAAATACCCTTCATGGCAGTCTCCCAAGGGACTTTGTCAATCAGTCTCCTGAGCAGATCAAAGTTTGCCCTCTGGAAGTCCAAGGCAGCAGTTTTACTGACCTCCCTCCTTACTTCTCCAAGAATAGAAAACAAAGCTTTTTCTACGCCCTAGACTTCCTCCAACTCTTACTTCCCCACAAATTCTTCTCTGTTCACGAGCAGCAACTCCAGAAGGGTACCCTCCCTTGTTGGCTCCCTCACCAGCTACATTAGGAAGTTATCTTCCATGCAATCCAGGAAGCTCCAAGATTGTTCTCTCTGCTGTACTGTATTTCCAGCAGACATCTGGGAAGTTGAAGTCCCCCATTAGAACAAGGGATAGCAACTGTGAAACCTCTCCCAGCTGCTTATAGAATATTTCATTCACCTTCTCATCCTGGTTGGGTGGTCTATAACAGACTCCAACCCCTAGATCACCCTTGTTGGCCTTTCCCTTGATTCTTATCCACAGGGACTCAATCCTATCATCACTTTCATTAATTTTTAGACATTTGTATGTCTCTCAGATATAGAGGACTACCTCACCACCTCTCCTTCCTCACCTATCCCTTATGAAGCCATTGGTAGCCATTGATTGCAGCACTCCAGTTGTGTAAGTCACCCCACTAGGTTTCCATTATGGCAATTATGTCATAGTTTTCTTGCTACGCAACGGCCTCCAGTTCCTCCTGTTCATTGCCCATACTGTGCATTGGTGTCCATGCACTTCAGCTGGGCTAACAATCCTGCCACCACTTTGGGGAGAGAAGTCCTAATTGCTGTCTGATCACTTCTATGGTTACTAACCTATTAGTTATCCCTATGCTTTTGATGCCACATATATCACCATCTTCCACCTCAATTAAGCGGGCAGACTGAAGGCCACCCTTAGGCTCATCTCTAGTGAGCCTGATTTTATCCCCTAACCCATTCGAGTCTAGTTCAAAGCCCTTTCAATGAGCTCCACCAACTCATGCGCAAGGATCCTTTTCCCCCTTTGAGACAGATGTACTCTGTCTGTCACCAGCAGACTCGGTGCCCTATAAACTTCACCACCTGCCTGAGCAGATCTTTTATTTGCTCACAGCACATACACGTGGTGTCTCTGGCTCTCTTTGGTACAAGTGCCAGGCTCAGGCATTTGCTGCAGCTGGAGACCTGCATGTATTTGTGTGGGAGCTCAAAGTTCCCATATTCTTTCTCACAGTGGCTTTTGTCCATGTTATGACCATGATCGCCTCCCCTCCCACTCACCCCTATGGCTAGCTGCCCAGCACCTCCTGTCTCCTACCCCTGTCTGAAAAACTCCAAAAATGTTCATTAAATGAGGAGAAGGAGTTAAAAAGGCTCCATAAGGACTCAAGGAAGAGGAATGAAGGCAAGTGTAAACCCACCAAAAATGGAAGAAGGGGAATTGCTTGGTGGACTTGCCAGCCAAGAAGACTAAAACTCCTCCACAAAACAAAGCAGAGCACGAAGTGGCAAAGGGATGGAGACAACAGGGTAGAAAAATATTTATAAGGTTCAGGAACAGCTCACCATGCCAAAAAAGACCCAGACTTTTCACCCCAATTTGGTCAATGCCAGGAGTCATCTCCAGACACAGCAACACGAAAAAATTTCAGCATGAGTTGAAACATCCATTTTGGTGCTCTCTCATTTGCCATCACCTCCAGGCATTTTGGCATTTCCACAATTTCTCACATTTTTCCATCTTTGAAACACAACTGAACACCAAGCTAAGGACTATCCTTTTTTAATACACCAGGGAAATCCAACCCTGGTTCTCTCGCAATGACATTTTCTGACTGTTGTTTTCTCAGTTTTGGTTGACATCCTTGTTATTGTGTATCCATAACTTTTCAAGCAGGCTGTCCCATAGTAAAAAACTTTGCAAAAAATGGAAATACTTTGCTCTCATGCCCAACCTGCTGTGTATCCTCACAAAATGATCAACGTCCCTTCTACACCTTGAGAAAAACTGTTTTCTGAGAAACCTCATTCATTGATATTAATTGCATTCCTATTATTTAGATATTTTTAAATTTCTAAATTAGAGGCCCCTCAGCTGCTTTACCTGTCCTCAGCATAAAATTAATAGGAAAATAATTAGTGCAATCATCCTGCTTCCCGTTTTTTTGAACACAGATCCCATGATTCTTCAGCTCTCTGGAGCATCTCCAGCCTTTCAAGCTCAACTGATGGATATAGAGTATTGCCACCCCTTTTTTTAACTTGTAAACTCAAGTATAGTCAATGAGTTGAGGCACTCAGACACTTGACATTGCTTAGGTGGATAACTGGAAAAAAAGTCACCCTTTTATCATCACTGGAACATCATCTGATGACCAGGTAAGATGGTGGCTCCTTCTAGTTTATCATGGTGAATATTCTGGCTCCTGTTGACTGTTCCTTTTATTGCTGAGCCAGCATTTTCCCCCAATTGGGTTTTTCCTGGGTGCATTCCCATTTATTTAGCAAGTGCCTCCAAATCCTCACTGGAATTTTCAACTTTCGAGTCTTGCCTGGGAGGGAAATGCCAGCAGCTCCAGGTCTGCAGGAATCAGAAGCACTTGGTACCTCTCCACAGGCTCGATTATTTTCCAGAGACTCACGTTAATTTTCTGATATGATCCCCACTTCTTTGTGAGGGACTAAATCCTCATTACTTTTCCTGACCGATGCATTCTAATTAGACCAACATAAAAAAAAAAAAAAAAAAAGAAAGGGGGTGGGGATGAATCACAATAGCCACAGGAAGACTTTCCATCTCATTAACTCCTTCACTTATTATTTCCATGAAAATTACTGATAAAAACTGTGCATCTCCATTTGCTGGGACCAGGAGCTTCGTCAGCTCATATCTAACATCTCTCTCATCACCCGGGATGTGAGTTGTTGCTATGGCAACACACAATAATAGAAACTAATAAATTACAAACGAGATGCTCGTTGAGCAATTATTGTTCTCTTTTATGTAAGTGTCTTGCTAATTTTGATCATAAGGAATGCTACCATAAAGCAGCGAAAGGATAGTAAGTCCATTTCTAGAGATTATTACAAAATACAGAGTGGCCAGTTGTTTTGTTTGGGTTTTTTTTTAGATCAATGAGTAAGTGGATGGGTGCTTTCAGGAAACCCAAATAAGAAAGAAAACTTCTCAGAGAACTTTTCCCTCCCTGCTCTGGGAGAAGAAAGTGGCTGTAAATATCACGTTGAGAGCATGAAACCACAGTGCTTGGAGCCAAGATGCTAAAAGCATCCCCTTCTCACCACCTTAAAAATGTCCTGAAAAGCCCTAAAAAAGCACCGCCTAAAAAAACCCCTTCCCTCTTTTTGGGGAGAATTCCAAGAGCTGTCTGTGGATGCTCTGGCTTATTTCGAGTTTGCTGCAGTTGTTTCTGGAGGGACTGTGCAACCCTAAATTTAATTTTCTGCAAAAAATATCCCTAAGGGTCATCCCATGTTGTGCATCAAGGATGTTTTTTGGGATGCAACCAGCCAACATTTATTCCCTGCACTGCCAATGCACATAAAAACCTCAACTCACGGGAAAAAAAAAACACAATTTTTTCAAAATATTAAGTTAAAATCCCTTATTTTGTCCCCAAAGCCTTCTAGGTGCAACTTGTGTCAGCCATTTCATTTGATACTTCTGCAATTATTGGGCATCCCCTGATACATTCTTTCTGTGCTTGAATCACCAAATGTTTCCTTCTCCCAGCTAAAACCCAAATCATGCCAAAAAAAGAGTCAAGGTGGGAATCTGAGTTCCCAAAATCTGTTTGACTGCCTTGAAGACAAGAATGGTGAGAGGAAATGGTGGATAAAATCATGGTGTTTCTGTCCCTCCCACCAAAATGGTATTTTTTAATTTAAAAAATGCAAATTTCTTGTAGATTTTCCTATGCATTTGTATGGCCTCTGTAATTCCTGCCCCCTCACTTTTCATTGCTGCAACATCAGAGTTTAGGAGAAGTCCTCACCTGTTGGCTTTGAAGAGACAAAAATGTTGGGGTTATAGCTTTGCCAAACCCACACACAAAAAGAAAAGGCCATGAAATAATATTTTTTTAAAAGAAAGAAAAAAATCAACACAGAACTATTGCACTATAGGAAAGAAATATGGATTATTTTTAATTATTGTCCTCATTTGGGAAGGGGTTTTGATGATTTGTCAGGAGGCCACAGGAGTTGTAAAGCAGTCTTCCAACCTCATTGGCCCAAGTCACCTATTGGCCGATGGGGAACAATGGTGAATACCAGCAATCTGAAGGAGTTACCTGGGGGTGGATGCTGACGGAGGAGGGGCTGGGGGAGTATGGCCCCCCCAGGTCATTCCTGAGTAGGTTGTCACTGTGCATCTTGGTTTTGAGGCAGGTGATGTAGCGGTTGCAAAAATCCTTGCACAACTCGTTGACCTTCTCCAGCTCCAGGAGGTGGATGCGCAGCACCTGGATTGCCTTCACCATCTATGGAAGGACACAATGGCAGAATTAAAATAACTCTTTTCCTCTGCTTGTCAGAAAAAAAGCTTTAAAATTTTCAATATTCTCACAAAAAATCAAACCTGGAACAGATCCTTGTGGCAGAACTAAATGCATTTCCTTTCTAAATTCAACAAAAAAAGCAAAAATCCATATTCTCACCCAAAACCCATCCCAGAGCAAACACCTCTGCACCTCCACACTTCCTTTCCCTCCCCATCACTCATATCTCTGCAATCCCAAGAATCCAAAATTCATCACAATTGCTATTGCCTTCATCAGAATTGCTTCCCATGTTTCAAAAAAGTCCAAGTGAAAGCCCCGGTTGTCAAAAAGTGTTTGGTTATTCTCTGAAGGCCACTTCTTCTTACAAGCTCACAGGGCTGCAGCTCTGCTGTGTGCCGGTGCCAGTGCCAAGCCTGGGCCTCATTAAAACGTGCCCCATAAACGTTCAAAAATTTACACATAAAACATTCCTCTTGCTGAGCTGAAACCTTCAGTTTTACAGCTGCTGTTTGAAATCTTGCATAATATATAAAATTTCAGCTATTCACTCCAGGGCAATAAATCTGGTTTTATGTAACAAAGCGTCTTTGCATTTCAAAGGCTGTTTTTAACTTGCAAATTTTAGTGGTCATCTTTACAAACTGCCAGTCGATACAGTTGGGAAACATCCCAAAAAATCCAAGACCAAACTCAGGTGGCAGCTCCACAATGGAGAAAGGGAATTCTGGTTGGTGAACAATAGTAACAATGGATTGTTCCTGGGAAAAAGTAAAATAAAATATTATTTTGCTTTTCTTGGCTCTTTTTATTCTTTTTTGGACTTCTTTATGGCTTTTTTCCCCTCCTCCACTGTCGGTGCAAGCCCAAGTTGGAGGCGTCATGCCCTGGCTCTCCGCATCCTCCCAGGGCTCAATGGCCATGAAAGTCAATATTCAAGGGCAAAGGCAAGAAGACCTGACACATATACGTATAAAAAATAAATCTCTCAATTATCTCAGCTCATTTGCTTAGGGTCTCATTTTATGTCCCTGCTCTGCTGCGCAGTATATCTGTCCGGATAAAGAGTTACAGTCCGATGGTGTACGTGCGCAGGGTTGTAAAAAATACAGATGCTGAATTAATTGACTGTGTGGCACTCGGCAGCTGATTGAGTTGATAATGGTGAGATCTGACCTTTTTCTAATTTCTAATTATGTGCATCTTGGTGGTGAGGAATACATGACTCTTATTCTAATGATAGCTAATGCCGCTGGCCTTTTCATT